CTGGACGCACCCAGCTCTAGCTCTAGTATTTTGAATACCACCTTCATTTTAATTTGGGTCACCTCTGCTTCTCTTGCTGATCAAAGAAACAAACTGTTGGGAGGAAAGTTTATGATGAAATGCAAAATAATATCCCCGTAATATGTTGGAGCCTAGTGGCAGGACACTCTGTCTCTCACATTGTGTCATTTCCTTGGAGCCCTGCACAGTGTGAACAAGCTCACTTTCACTTTTCCTCTCCTAAGAAATTTGCATTTTGGCTCATCAAGGCATCCTTTTTCCTGGCAACTCTGGGACCACATGTGACTTCACAAAAGCTGCAGAGCCGATGCCAGATAGCCACCCCTAAGCCAAGTCTCCTTCAAAATGGCAGAGTGTAGAGAATCAGAGAGTGGTTTTAGAGAGAAGTAGACAACACAGCAAATAGTAGCTGTCCATAACTCACTCCAGATGTGTCTCTGTGACCACTGCATATCCTTAGGAAGACAGCCTATGGTTAGAGATGGTCCTCAATTCAGAGAAGAGAACTGTGTCACCTGGTGGGGCAAATAACTTAATCCCTCTGTGTCTGATTTATCAACCAAAAATGTGAGTAATTACGTAGAGTTTGGAGTTGTTGAGAGGATTAAATATAACATACAGTAAGCATCTAATATAGTATAAATTTTCAGCAAATGTCAGACATGATTATCATGATGCTGTTGCTGGTTGCTGCTGCTACTGATCATGCTGTAACTTCTGGAACCTTTCTTGACCTGTCCAGCTCTGGCCTTAGAAAATTAAAAAGAGCCCTCTGTTGTCACTTAAGTCAACTGTCCGGGAACACAGAGTGTGAGTGACTGTACAAAGGTTGGAATTGGAGAACTTTGCTGAGGGTGGACAGGAACAGACTAAAATCAGTCAGGGGCTGACAAGAAACACCTACTAACATTTATTGAGTGCCTACTGCATGCCAGGCTCTATTTTAAACTTACAAGCTTTAATGTATTTAGTCCTCATGACCCCTGTGAGATAAAATGCCATTTCCATTTTTTTCTTATGAGGAAACTGAGGCGTTGAGGAGGTGGATAATATGCTTAGGGTTACAAAGTTAGTAGGATTGCAACAGGAATGGATTCCAGTCCTAGCTGGCTGGTCTCCAGAGCGCGTGTTCCTTAACCACTGCTCTTTAGAGCCTTCACAAGAGGAAGAATTCATTTTAGTACACAAGGTTACACACTATTGGACCCTGGAGGAGATTTTGCAAGAGACTCTGGAGGCAGGTGGAGGTTAGAAAGGGCAACAGGAGAGCCGTATTGGGATGAGAATCTCAGCCAGACTCAGAAGAAAGTCCAAGGCCTGAGAGGTTTTGCAATCCGGAGGAGGAGGGACAATGTTTCCTGCAAGGCAACATATTTGCAGCTCAGGGTCTCTTTCTGGTAAGTGAACAAGACAAGAAGTAGCCAGGGGCATGGAATGTGGAAGGGAAAAAACAGTTACATTTATGAAGTGCAGAACATCAGTTGGTGGACGGGAAAGTATGTCAGCCTCTACACTCATTCATCACCATCCTGACAAACG